CTTTCATCAATAAAGCCCTGACTCTTGACCACAGAGCCCTGAGAGCGAGTGCTTGGGTTCACATGCTAGCCACCAACTTCAGATCGTGCGTGTGTCCCTTTGCCTTGGAGGGCTTATTCTAGGGTAATGCTCATCATGGGTCGAGAATTTGACTTGCAACCGTATTACTACGAACTGAACATGGCACTTTTGATAATATGATGGATGCCGCTGATAGTTTTGGCAATTACCACGCGTCTGGCATCGTTCGTGTTGCTCAATGTGACTAATCAACAGGGGTCATTTACGGGCATTGCGATCATTGCAATCGAGACGAAGGGGTGGAATGCTGCCAGTACCTGATGGTTCAATTTTGAACTAGAACTTACGCAGGTTTCATGAACGACGGCAATCCGAAGAGCGTGATCGACCGCACTAGCCTGCAGAAGTGCTGCTAAGACTGTGCATCCCCTGACATAACGACCTCTGTACAAGGTAACACAGTGCTATTGTGATCCGGATAGGCCGGCGATGCTGATAACACAAAACTTACTGACATGGTTAGCATCAATAACTCGTCTTGCCGCTAGCCGCTAGTACAAGTTGCTAACACTGCCAGTGTTACCTTTGCCGCAATCCTTCTTGCACCCGCTGTGCTCGAGTTCGCAACAATGCAAAACTTGTGCGCGACGTTAATAGACAATAGCAATGGGTTCATGCATTCCGCTGGCTTTACGAATATCATCTAGACCATGGCCATTGCTAATGACACGGGCATAATTGGCGGGCACTAACTACGCTACTTTGTTGGTTTGCCTGGCTTACCAATCTCCGGGCAGGAGACATCTCTGGCCTTTTGACAAGGATGGTGGCGGGAGGATGGGTCGGACCTAGCTTGCTAAGTCCCCCAGCGTTTTTGGGCATCTGAGATCCCCTGAGCCTCATTCCAGGATCTGATCCGGCACCACCTGAACATGCAGGCGGCTGCTCAAAACCGTAGTAGCTACAGATATACGGGGCTCAAAAGGATCCTGGTGTGTATGGTCTGCTTGGATCCCGTATCCCCTGCTTCTGCAAGAAGTGTGCTCTGACAGGATATTCTGGGCCATTGCGGGCAGAGAACCCACGTGTGTACGGGTTATGGTCGCTTTTGATGCAAACACTGGCGATTGTAAAAGTGCTGTGTGTCCTATGTAAGGCTTGTTGCTCCCGCGGGCAACTCCCAAAACAAAGAAGAGGCCTGCACATGCCAAGGGAGGAACGTTTTGATTAAGGGAAATGCCAGACGAGAGCGGTCGATAGCTGCCATAGCTCCCGCGTTATAGATAAATTTGAACACGGCTTTCGTGGTAGAGGGTGGTACAGTCGCGGAGCATAAACGAACGGCTGTGCTGCTGCGAGCCTTGCGAGTACATTGCTCCAGACTTAAAGGGAACTCCAGAAAGTTGGAATATGGTTTCAGGGTAGGATACCCTATAATTTACTATAAAGGGTTTAGGATAATCATATTCCAACTTTCTGGTTTTTATTATAAACTGCATGAAAGCCGACGATCGCTGCTCCCACAAGATGGGAGTACCCTCTCTAGGTTTGCAGGGGAGTGATCTTCTGAGATGGGAGGAGAACACATGGGGCATCTAGAACACTATAGTCACTAGAGCCCTACTCGGGTTCCCACCTACCTGAACCTTAAAACTCCTACGATCCCCGCAACCCTAATCCAATCCCCAAGCCCGACTCCCCGGATTGAACAGCTGCCCTAGAACGTTGAATTTCATTGGTGTTCGGACAACTTGTGGCGATACGGCCGAAGAATCACTAGACCAATGAATCTGAGTCTGGCCTGGACTCCGAAAACCAGTTGGTTCTGAGTCAAGTCTCATGACAACTCATACCCCTGGAGGCCTCCGTCCTCAAAATATCAGGATGTGAGGATCCCAGTCTTACCGATCGAGGGAGACTCTTTACACTCCTTGTTGAAATCCACAAGAAGTATGCTTGGCGAGTTTCGTCATCCTCGTGACCACGGCCATCACGGCAATCACCATCATCATCATCATCACCACCGTCATCATCATCCTCAACAGCAGCGGTTTCAACAACACCAGATCAGTGATCGACGCATCCTCATGTTCATAGGCTACGGTTGTTTCTGCATCAGCATCAGCGAAAGTGGTCGTGATCGTGAGCGTGAGGGCTGTGACCGTCCCGGTTGTTGCTGTAGCTGTTGCAATTTCTGTGAGAATTCGTCTTCCTGCTAAGTATGGTCATTGAGCTATTGCTGTTACTAGTATGTGTGCGTATGAAAAGCTTCATTACGTCATGATTCCACTTCCCATTGCCAGCCAGTTGCTCCCGCTGGCGTTATCACAAGATATCGCAAGTACCACCTCTCTGCCACTATTGCCGGTATTGTCTCCGATAAGCGTCTTATTGTTATTCAGCAGCCGCTGTTGTCGTCGTCCGCCGGCTCTGGGCATCGAAGCTATCGTAAGCACAGAAACCTGTAGAAAGACACGACCCGCCCACACTCAACTTTGAACCAAAGTTGCAATCCAAAGCACAGTTATCATGCAATGAGCCGAATCCATCTAAGCCAAAAACAGAAATAAGCCCAAACAGAAAACGAAAATCGAACACCAACCTTATTCAAACTCGACACCCGAGAGAGAGTACAATACCCGGCTGCCCCTGTGCATTGTAGCCTATACTTGCCCTTGCTACATCTTCATGGGGGAATCGAAACACCCAGGCAACAGAGAACAACCCTAAACCCTAAACCCCAAACCCTGCACCCTAAGGTAAAAGCCAGAAAGTTGGAATATGACTATCCTAACCCTTCTATGGTAAATTATAGGGTATCCTACCATGAAACCATATTCCAACTTTCTGGAGTTCCCTGTACACCCTAAACCCCTAAACCGCCCAAAAACCACCTGTGTCCTCGCCATGCCCGGCATGGAACCGAATTCTGTTCTCGAGCCCGGCCTGCCTCCAAGAAGGGTTTAATATAGGGGCCTTAATCATTAGAATAGGGTTCCGTTAAAGGTTACTATAAGGGCTACTATAAGGGTAATGCAATAAAGGGGCCTTAATAATTAGAATGGGGTGTTGGGGCCCATTGTATGATTATCATCAGGAACCCCCAAAATAGTATAGGTAATAATATTTAGGCCCCTATATTAGGATCTTAGACGAGAGGGGTTTCGGACTTTAGAATATCGGGGTTCGGGATTTTGGAATATTGGGGTGTTCCGTATTTTAGAATACAGGGGGTTTAGGAAGTTTGGGGTTTCGGGATTCAGGGTTAAGGGTTTGGGACTAGGTGGTTCTTGGGTCGGGGCTTAGCACCCGCTTCACTGCATCATGGAAGCAACCTGCAAGCGGAAAAGTGCACAACAGTTGCTCAGCACCCTACGGACGCCCCGCTGGCGCCTTGCTACGGACGTCAAAAAGATACCAACACATACCAGCAGCAACAGCTACAGCTCAGGGTTTTTGTGACAAGCTTCCAGCACAGCACCCCGCCCACAGCTAAATATGAAGAACAGCTCTGGAATGCAGAGGTGTCGATGTAGCTGTGCTAGTGCCCCAAGGCCCAAACCCGCAGTTTACATCCCGTCAACCAACCTCTTCCCTATCCCTGGCCTTTCGCACGTTGTCTGCCGAAGGTGTTGAAAGCCAGTTCCGGCCTGGGAGCAGCCCGAAATCAGGTTTTGGGACAGAAAAGCAACGGCTCAAGAACTTCGAAGGTTTACGGCTTCCGGGTTTCGCAGGCAGAAAAGTGCCGTTCCATCTCAAACAAGCCGTGACCTACTGCCGTCAAGCGCCCGAAAACAAGACACGTCCTTTAGACTGCCAAAACCACTCACTCTTCTCTTGTGGTCAGAGTTAAGGCTTTTGGAAAACATGCGCATCTGTCGCCTCCAGCATCACGCAGCAGGTACAAGCGGTCAGCTCATTCACCACGGGAACAGTGCCATGCCACAAGTTGAAGACAAGCAAACCGGAACATAGAGCAGATCGTTGTTAATCCGTGGACGGCTCATCCCCTCCTCTCTCATCTGCCATAATCATGTCGTCCGGTGGCACCACCTGTCTTGCGAACACCTTCTCTCATGGCTAGGGCTAGGGAGGACGCCAGATCTGGAACCGGAACCCCAAATCCACCAAAGCGATGGTTCACCACTCGCTCATCAAACAAAGTGAACCTCTGCACGACATCCCACACTCCACACTGCTGTGCTGAAACCAGAGTTCTACCAGGACCCGAAACGTACACTTAAGGGACTTCTTGTAGTCCTCCAAAAAAACCGCCTTCCTAATTCTGCTGCGCTCAGACCCAAAAAGCCCCAAACTCACAGACGAGGCGCGCGAAGCCCCTGCCGAACATGAGGTCGTGCACTTCGACCTCGGCCTCAAACTGCCTCGGTTCGCTGCGTAAGGGTTTGTGCAGGGTGGGAGAGCTGGACGGAGTCTATACTACGGGTACTAGAGGGGTCTACCTATAGGTGCATGCAGGATTTAGGGAGCTAGGGGCTTTGATTTGAAGACTTGGGCCTTGGTTTGGGAGCTAATGTCTCTTCAGCTCTGAAGGTACTTGATCTGGCAGCCCTGGCGATGTCCTACACCCTAGACTCAGAGGGGAAAAGAGTACATAATAGCTATATTCAGGGTATATACCTAGGGGTCCTTATTAAGGGTCCCTCCTTTTACCCTTGGATAGACTCCTAAACCCAAACTCGAACTCCTAAACTCGAAGCCCGAACCCGAAGCCGCGAAATCGGATTGCCAGTGCATCCAGCTGCCAGGTGTCCGAGATGTCCGCATCCGCGCCGTCTGCCTGTGCTTGAATGCAAGAGCGAGAAATTCCCAGCCACTGGGACTAGGAGGGCTTTGGGCATAACACAACCACGCAAGGAACCATAAGCGACTACTAGTACGAAATATTCCGAACGAGATGTTGCGACTGTTCATCCGAACCAGAGATTTCAAGAGGGGACCCTCAAACCTGAAAATGCTCAACACAAAGAGAAGGCTGTCCTAGCCATTGAACACCACAACACTATCACAAACTGACCATGGCTGAAGATGTGTCGTGCTTTGCCAGCCTCACGTCGCAGATTGTTGGTGTACTCCTTCGCATATTGCACCTGAGGGTCGAACTTGGAAAGATTGGGAATCTTTCCTAGGGCGCACCGTGCCCCATGCAGGAAACTCATGCCCGCACAAATAGCCATACACTCCACAACCTGTCGATTGCAAACAAACAAACCGACCCTGAACGCCCTGGCTGCATGCATGGTGCCGCCAGGCCGTGCATCAGCGGGTTGGAGGCGATGGTTCTGCTGAAGCTCTCCATGTCCAGCATCAAAATCCGCGACACATCCGTTGCGATGAGGTCGCCCAGGAAATACCACTCCGTCCAAAGGCACATCCTGATCATAGGCAGAAATGAGGGCGAATGGGATTGGGGTCCTATGCGCCGCATAGTCCCCCAAATCCCCTGAATCCCAGATCCCTCAAACCGCCAAGCGTCCAACACAATACATCACTGGCTTCTGGGGCCTGCACCACAAGGCCCCCACTACTGCAGCTAGCTGCGTGTTGAATATTTGGCAACATAAAACAGACCCATGATAGGTAAACACCATGTCCCAAAAGGTATACCATATGCGATCCCCCTTGCTGTAATCCTTATGAGGAAGGTGTGGCTGGTCGCGAACATGCGGGCTGTGTCTTTCACTGGCAAAGGAGATTTGCTGTTTGCATTGCGGCTTCAGCTTGGTGTTCTTGGGAGCCTACGAAGTGATTCGGATTGAGGCGCCTTGCCTCGTTTGGAACCTGATCACTCTTTCCCAAGCATGCGAAGTTCACAGTGCAAGCTGGTGAGGGAAACTTGAGGCCAGCTTGGTGCAAGCTCAGATGCTCTGCCGTCCAGACATGGAGGCACGGTTCGGCTTGCCTCCCATCCTCACAGCGGCAGAAACAGGACTGCGGGGCCCGTCGCGTTCGCCACTCCCCTTCATAAGCACTCACTATGCATGTCCCTTCAGGGTTTTTGGTAGTAAAGCCATGCACGGGATAATGTATCTTACTACCAAAATCCGCCGTCCGGCCGGCCTGAAGGTAGGAGACGTCTCCAGTGATGGGCAAATACGCCGCCAATGCCTCGACGCCGCTGCAGAAGATAACATCCTGCGCACTGTTCAAGAGCTGTGAACATAACTGTGGTATGCTGCGGTAGCAGGCAGCACAAAGTACAGCAGGAGTTGCTGTCGTCGTAGCAGTAGGTGCCTTGGCCCTTCCCCCGCACACGTGAAATTTTCTCGCAGTCGTCGTTGGGGCAGCGACCGTCGACGCCGTCCTCGTCGTCGTCAGAATCGCAGTCGTTGGTTCTTCTTGTTTTGCAGCCGCAACAGCAGCAGTAGCACAGACATGGTCTCCACCGGCAAGCAGAGTCCAAGGCAAATCGTAGCGACCTCCCCTTCATGAGCCTCGTGCAAGCCCACAGTCCTTGGTGGCAACCGTACACACTGTAAACGAGGAGCTCGCCAAGTTCCGCATGCTGTCCACCGTCTGCACATTGTGCCCTTGGGAAAGGCCACATGGCTCATGGGCACTTGCAACAGGCGCTCCGACCCAGATGCGGACAGCTCACCGAAAGGAAGTGCCCCTGATAAGCCCAGGGGGCCACAAGTTAATCGCTTTCATGTTCATGGCTAGGGTCGTGTGCACTGGCTTTGAACAACTTGCAGGAGATAGTCCACAGGCAGAACCCCGAACTTCATATCGCAATCTTGGAAGCAGAACTTCATTCGCAATGCCGGGAGCCGCCTCCGCTATCATAAGCTTCTTTCCGAGACTCAACTCAAGATAGCTTTCAGGAAGGGCAACCTCTCCATGTCCTTCTGGTGCTTTTCCTTCGATAGCAGCACATGATTTGAGAACGGCTCTGTGGCACCGTGCCTCGGCACGAGAATATACCAAGACCAGGACGGAAGGGTAGATCCCCAACCCAAACGGATCACGAAAGAGAAACCTCAGAGCGGTTTGCCCGCCCCGCCGTGGCATAATCAAGGTGAGGTACTCGAGGGTGCGGCAAACCCTGCACGCTTGCATGTTCCGTGGCTCTTGACTTCGGCCCCTCGTCCCATAAAACCCGTGCTCCCAAGTTAAAAAAACCCCAATTTTACACCGTGCTGCAAGAGAAAGCGAAAGCCTAAGCCTGGAACCAAATCTCACAGCCAAGATGCCAGCTGCAACCTTGCTATCAGGAGAACATGAGAACATTGGGTTTTGAGATTCATGGGATTACGATTTCGGAGGGGGGGGGGGGGGGGCAGGATTTAAGCTTTATAGGGCTTGGGCCGTAGGCGTAGGGCTTGGCGCTTTTGTTAAAGGTCCCCGTTTCATGCTGACGGAAAGCCACTGTTCGGCACGGTTCGAATGGTTTGAGGCCTTTTGTGTTTTTAAGGTTCCGAGGTACGCCAAACTCCTTGGGCTCTGGGGCTCAGGCTTGCAAGCGGTAGCGTAGTTGGGTTTCCAGGGTGGTCTAAGATCTACATGGACTTGAGATTCTGGGCTAATGATCTAGGCAGCTCTAGTGCTTCGGCTTTGGGATCCAAAGCGCCTCGAGTTTGTGAGTTTGGAATCTGAAGAGTATGGATTGTTTTACTGATACTGCAGATCCTGCCTTCAGAGCAATGTCGGTAGCTGGGCTTGACGTCTGGAATGGCTTCACACAATATGGAGCCGTGAAAAGATTTCTTGATTCAAAATCTTAACGTTTGCAGCGGAGAATGTTGATTAGCTATACAGTGCAAAACTGTCTCATTGCAGCAGCGATGCTCATTCATCAGCGGACGTGACAGCATGTCCAGTAAGGGCACCTGGTCCCCAACCATTCTTCCAGTCTGATGCCCAGTTGCAAAACTTCGAAGTCCTAGTATCTCCAGGGCCCATAGAATCCCTAGAATCCCCTAGAAACTGGGAATCTACGATTCATGGCCTCTCTCAGGTGAAGGCATCTTCTCACTCGACTCTTACCTCTCTCCAGTCAGCTTCAGCGTCTCAGCAAACCTGCACATTGGGTGGTTGTCAAGATTATGATCCCTATTCTAACACGGCACCTAGTATTTCGGATACCCAACAAGGGACCCTAATTTCGACGACAACCCACATGAACGTGACAATCGGTGAAACCTGCGGCTCCACAACCGTCGACCCTGCGGCGCATCAGCTGCCACGGTCAAGGCCGTAATGCATCCAAGTCGCATGCATGTCCTGTGAGGACGCCTCACACAATGCAACGTGACGTAGCCATCACAACACACCCGGACGAGGACAACCGCTCCGTACCCACAAGCCCCATAGTAGTTCCTTTTTGGGATTACCTTATAGAATTAAAATGTGGGAGCTACTATTGGGCTTCTGGGTAGCCAGCAACTGGAGAGAAATGCTGTGACGCAGTGACGGTGCGGAGTTGAACGGCCCGGCCTTATGCTGGGCCATGTAGGCATGCTGCAGGAACTTCGTAATTCGCTGGCTCAGGTTCGTGGAAACCTTGTTGTGCCTTGGATATACCGGGGGAAACAAATAGAGCTCCGATGACGTCTAGGTCTACTCGGAATCGACTGAAAACTGCTTCCTCTGCGACATCATCTCTTCCAGTTGCTGGCAGCTGAGCGACAGCAGGTACCGTTGCAACAGACTGAAATGGCGCGCTTCCTCCTCCTGTGCACGTCGGAACATGATGCTCGGCCCGGCTAGCAAGGAGCCATGAACGACCATGTGGCACCCACAGACTCTTGGCCCAACGGGCATCCGGACCTCTAAGACAATTTGAAAACCGATGATGTACTGGGGCAGAGGGCTTCGAGGATACGGCTGTGCCACATAGACTCAGACAGGATGAGGATACCAAAAGCATATTCAGAGTCGATCTTGTCGGCTCCAACTGGCGTATTGGGCTCATTGGTTTATTTTTCGCATATGCAACTGATGGCCGCAAACACCAACGTTGGCCCCCCCTGCGCCGCATGCCTTGCTTCGGGAATACGCTGTCATCATGGACGTCATTGACGACACCATGGTGGAGAAAGTGATCAGCGAAATGAGGGCAACGAAAATACCTGGTCTGCTGCACATGTGTCCAGGTTCTCGATCGTCTACAGCATGCAAATCCCTGGTCTACTTGTTGCTGTCTTCTCGTCGAGCTTGCGCTGCCTTACACAATACAAATTCAGCTGTTGCCGTACTCCATTGCTCATGTGCTTGTGTCTGACTGTACACATTACTAAGTATGTGTTGTTCTCAAAGGTTCTCAAAGATACTACATTTCAATATGATTCTATAGGACCGGAATAGACATACACTTGGACTGCACGTCAAACTGTGCTTGCCTACGAATACTAGTGAGAACTGTCGATTCGGTCCAGTGCAAAACAAACAGGCACGCAGGCTCAACGGGGAACCTAGAAGACGCCCTTGTTTACAAGGACAGGGCGCTGAAGATGCGTTCGGGCAAGTTCGTGGCCTCGCGGCAGATTCTTTTCGAGGGCTTCGGAGTCCAGGGTATGCAAGTTTGGTAACGGATACAGCTATTTGAGGGCTTCGGCTCTGCGTCTGCAGTCTGGGGCGCTGTTTCCACGACTCGCAACTTTAAAAAAGTGCTGCCGAAAAGGTGGAACATGGTGGAAGCGCAACTTATCGGCAGCACACTCGGCTCTCCTCCGACAGTTGCTTCACTGTAGTTATAAATGGGGTTATAAGTCCCCTAATAGGGGTTATAACCATAGTTACCCTAATTATAACCCCACATATAACTTTTACCGGATCCAAAGCGACGAGGCCAGTCTGACTACCTCTTCCCATGCGAAGCGCACGAAGGCCGGCTCACCAAAACAAAAAAATCAAAGCTTGGGGTTTAGGGCTCTTTTGCAAAGCATGTCAGATACTTGCCATGTGGAGTACATTAATTAAGACTGCCTGACGGCTGGAACAAGAAAACTGAATCTCAGCAGTCAATCGCAGACGGGTACGGTAAGAATGCAGGTAGCTAGCTAAGCTAGCTGGCTAGCTAGCACTTCTCCTACTCCCCGCTCCAGCATCCGTGCGCAAAATCAAAATCTTGCCTGCAGTGCGGATTACAAGTGATTTTGCAGCTGCCCGGATGACACGGATAAAGAGATTCCCGGTGCTGTGGAGCCAATTTAATTTTGGGTTCAGAACTCTTGAAATTTTCTCCGCGACCGCTAATAGCTGTATGGTCTGATTCCTACAATTTCCTAATTACCGGGTGCTGCAAAACGGGAAGGAGACTGGAAGGGGATCAGAAGCTGCAGGTTTCATGAACGCAGCATCATCGACATCACCGTCGTTGTTATCATCACAGAAAAGCATGTCGTCTTCCCCTCCGTCGTCTTCAGGATCGTATCGTTGCTAGTCGAAAGGACGGCTTCGAGCTTAGAGGCTTAGAGGTGCTCGTTCGATAACAGAAACCAGAATGCTTGATCATGAGAAGATAGTATCCTGGATAGCCTGAAGTTCACTGTAGGACCAAGAGGACTCCAGACCATGAAACCTCGAAACACCCTGCGACAGAGGTAGCAGGGTTCGCATCGTACTCGGAATGTTACTTTGCTTCCGGCCAGTCAAGCAGGACATCCGAGTGCAGCAGAATTCAGGCGACATTCTTAGCGTCGCCTTCTTCAAGAGCGCATGCACAGTCATGACCAGAGTGCAATCACCGACGGCAATGACGACGCTGTCGACCAACAGCTTCGACAACGATACCGACAGCAACGGAGACAAGCATGGCCATGACTAGCGCGATTCAAATCACTGACTACCACTACCATGACAAGATAGCTTGGGAGGGACAACAGAATCTAGCAACCATTGCCGCGAACGACAGGGATGAACGCGGCCACAAGCGGAAGGCCCCGACACACTTCATCCTGGGTCGGCAGCCAAGCTCCAGAATGTTCAGGAGTCCGAGTCGGACAGCACCCATGAGCACCTAGCCAGGCCTGAACCCCCTTCTCCATCCTACTTGTAGTCTGAGCCCCCCAAATTGTCGGATCCTGCGAAAGCCCACACCAAAAGAGCTTTCTACTTTCCCGTCGTACTTTCGGTCTGAGTCGGACGCGAAACGCGCATGTGAACATGAACAGATATGTGCGCGTGCATATGTATGTATACATGCATGTATGCAGTATGTATGTGTGATATACATGTACCCACACACATACAGACCTGTGTATCATACACGTATACCGTATACGTATACACATAGTCGCTACTGCATACATTTCTAAAAAGAATGGATACATGAACAGACTGCTGAAGCCAGCCTCGACTCCAGTGGCCCCCACCCCGAGCTGTGCGATGGCCTGTCCACCAGCAGCCGAAGGCTCGAACCCAAAGCCCCAAAACCCTAAGTCCCAAAGCCCTAAACCCGAAATCATACACACGCAAATCAAGGGAATAGCGCGTTAGCCTCAAGGCCTCCGACAAGAATACTACTCTGAGTTCTCCGAGCCCCAACTCAAACGGTCAATTGCTGCAGGTCGGGATTGGGGGTGTCATCTCATAGGGGGTATTAGAAGGATATGCAGTGTGGAAGTTTCAAGCAGACTCAAGGGGGTTGCTAGGTTGGTCTGTGTACAATCAGGATAATCAAGTCTACAACTGGAACGTGGGATAAGGATGATTCGTGCTGGCACTGACATGCTTTTACCTTATAAAGGCATGAGGAGACTGAATGATGCTCCAATTTCCCGTCCCCTATTTCAATCGAAGGCCCAGGGATGATTAAGGTTTCGTCTTCTGCCAAGGCACCCAATGTAGACTCGTCATATAGCCTCAGCGCAGTGGTAGACTGCTGGACCCCGTTCCAAACCTCCAAAAGCCTAAGACTCCGATAGCAGCAAAAATCCACAACAAAGCAAAGAATACTCGGGTACTATTACTATTATTACTACTATTACTACTATTACTACTATTATTACTACTATTACTACTATTATTACTATTATTACTATTACTACTATTATTACTATTATTACTATTATTACTATTATTACTATTATTACTATTATTACTATTATATACTACTATTACTACTCTCAGGAGCAAGAGACGGATGACCGAGGAGAGGCTGAGATCTGGATCAGTCTCTGCATCAGAGGCTCTCAACACTTTCAAAGGGACCCCAGTTTTGAGAACGCCCCACATGGTCCTGTCAGTAAACCCTTCTGGCACTCGGAGGCCCTTATAATCGTATCACACCACTTGCAAAAGCCCGCTTGTTATTGTTTCGTCCATGAGCATGCGTGCCAACTCTCAGAACGTGCGTTACAGAGCCGGTTTGCACACGCAAAGACTGCGACAAAGCCCGAGCAGCCGTACAGCCGGTCTTCTTCCTCCACCCCGTACCTGAGTTATGCTCAAGATGTTGTCAGGAATGAGCAGCACATCCTAACTTGCAACAACCACTGCGCTAGGTAACGGCCGGGCTCATGGCGGTTTTGTGAAACATACTCCCTGCCGACGTGCCCGATGCTAGCCCGCGTCCCCTCTGAGATTCAGCCTTCTTCCGCCACAGTCTCAATGCCTACAACCGGCTCGCACCCCGATCAGCAAGCTGGCATGGCTTGCACGGTAGCTTCATCCCAGCTGCTGGGTTGACCACCCATCTGCCTTGCCGCCAATGTGGGAAAAGCCCCACCATGCACAGGCAATCCTGAGAAGGCCAGGGCAAAAGCTTGACTTGGAGCTATCTATCGTGAGTCGCTTGGCTTAGGGTTATTACAACAAAGGCAAAGGGGCTCTGTGACCTTGAGATCCAGTGCCCCAGAGGCACAGAAGTCTCTGGAATTCCCACCAAGCCGCATGTGATTCAAAAGCAACAGCCGGATGATGTTCATGGCCACGCTGAACCTCAGCTGTCTTGCCGGAGAACGAACAATTCACATGTGCACGGATGGCTTTACAGTCGACAAGTGGAAATTCTGGCTAAAACTATGAGATCCACTGACATGTCAGTCCCGTCTCATGCTCTTGTACCCCAATTGATACTCCTCCAACTCTGATGCTTGCCGTAACATGATGTCTTGTCCAGTGGTTGTGGCGGCGTACGTACTTACAGGATCGGAAATAGCGACGATGTAGCTGAGGGTGATGATGAAAACGAAATAATGACGACGATGATGACCCTGACGATAGGGGACGGAAGCACGCCTTGCCGACGATTTTCAAGATGGTCATGGCGGTGGCGATGATGAGGAAGATGTCGATGACTGCGTGTAGAGTGATGATGCTTGTGATTGTGTTGGTGACCGTGCTGCTGGCTCGGCTGACGGCGAAGGAGGTGACGAAGCTCGTGAGGACGATGATGCTGACATGTCACACTTGAGCCCGAAACTGAAACCGCAAATGGGGGTTTCCGAAAATGGGGGACCCTAATATAGTACCCGATAAATAGCAGGATCCTTATTACAAGGACCCCCAAGTAAGGTACCCCTAATTTTCGGAAACTCCCAAATCCTTGCCAGGTCAGGAGACTGGACGTTCACGGCCCAGCCTTGCATGGCCTCCTTCGGATGCGCAAGACTCATAGCCTTCTCTTACCATGTTTTCAAACTTGTCTCTCTTATAGTCCTGTACTCCAAAATGTTGTTTCGAATATGATGACCTAGATAATTCAACCCTTCTAACTTTGAACCATTCAACCCTACTATAGATGCTTTTCCAGAACGTTCGCATGGGCGAGTCTTGCAATCTTCGCTCCGGAAAGTCCTTTCCTTTCAATCGAAACTCAAGCCTTAGGTGTGTGCATCACGAGATCCATATCTACGAACTTCCATCGCCTGTCATCCAGATGCTGTGAGCACTGCGACTTGCCTTCTAAATGGGGAGGGAGTGCTATTATTGCGTGGCGGAAGGTCTAAGGATCAAGGCTTCAAGAGCGTCGATGTGGGTCAGATCTCCCCCCCTCTGTTATGTTCTGCGCTGCCTCGAACTGCGGGAGAGGTTGACACTAAGACGGCCCCCATTGGATTTTGCCGACCGACGATGCTGTATTGCTTGAGGCTTGTTGTGGGGTTTAGGGTTACCACGGGTTTGGCAATTACATGATATGCTGCCGCTACGATGTAGCTCTGCTTCTGACTCTTCTGGACAGTGCTGTTCTTTCATGCGCGCCTCTTTGTAATCTGCACTTCCTTGTGCACCGTCTCGCCAACTGGGGGGAAATAATTGGAAATGCCAGTCAACAGCGGACCCCCAGACAATCTCATACGTACTAAAATCCTCAGTTTGGGCCCCTGAGTAAGGTACGCCCCGACTATGTCGAAGCACCGCTGCAAATAAAACCTGCTCGAATGCGACAAGGACCCAGCTTCACGCGCTGATTTGCAAGCCCTGAAAGCCCAGACAACCCCAATGTCCTGCAGCACTAAAGCTGTCCGGCTCATTTTGCCCAGGCGGACGACACGCACCAGGCGCAGTAGGCGGAGAATCCACAGGACATTGTGACCCTGTCAAGCGGTGTTTTGGATGTTTAACAATTAGGGTTTAAGGAGGGCAGATCCTGTGTCAATGGAGAAAGTCGGCCTTCTACATAATAGCTCATCGAGCTTCAATCACCCCAATCGTGCCGCCTCCTGCTGCCCCCGGCTGCCTTCCAAGGCTAGGGCCTCAGATGTGATGGACCATTGCCGACAAGGCTTCAGGACAGGAGGGGAACATACATACATGGGTAGTTGTCAAAATCAGGGTTTTTTTTGGGGTCCTTATGATCATACGGCACCTAATGTTTAGGGCACCCAAAAAGGGACCACAATTTTGATAACTACCCCCACATCAGTTTCATTGCCTTTTACAGCAAGGTATCTTCCCAAACCCCACCACCCTTGTCCTTTTAGAAATAATGGACCGAGCCCTATACCTATATCCCTTAGTAGGAATTATGTAAGAAGGTCTACTAGCCGTTACTAGCCGGTCTGTTTATTCTTTTGGGGGAACCATGAAAAAGGACAAGGCTGAACCCCACAACCTGGCTCCGGCGCCTTGGGCAAGCCACCGTCCGCTTCGACTCCCGGAGTTCCCAACCAGATCCCCACAGCAGAAGCTAGGGTTTTAGGGTTTTAGGGTTTATAGTAGGGTTTAGGGTTTAGGGGGGGAAGTACGGCAAGCTGCTGGCCGTGGCTGGGTTGTGCGAATCTGCGGGCAAGCTGCAATCCAATCTATGGAGACCAGCATGATGTCCACCGGCAGCCACGTCCGCGCGTATTTCCGTGCCACAGCCGTTGCATCCATCACCAGCACCCCCTTGCTGTAGACTCCAGTGCGGAAAGACATCCTTGAAAGAATGTAGGAACCGCCACTGAGCTTCGACACATAAGGAGTCACCCACACACTGCGGCATCTATCGACAACGACAGCTTCTGAGTCTCCGCTGGTCTTGCCAAAAGTTGGTTTGAGCGGAGCAAGAACAAAAAAGGCAAAGCAAAGACTTTTGCTTCGAGCCGAGCCACAGAATGTCAACGCTCCAGAACGCAATCGTCGACCACGACAGTACGTTCAGAAGTTCTGACTCAGGGAGGTCGAAGAACTGCAGTGGAATAAACACAACATCCTTGGCAGAATATGAGAGAAGGCAGGTTTTGAAAGAACCACGATGAGGACAACTAAAAGGTTCACTAACCATCGTTTCGCTGGACGTGCAATGCTTGCATGGGCAATGGGGGAAGCACGTCAAATGGATCGCTTCGGAGGGTTTGGTGTTCATGGTTCAGGATTGAGAGGTTTAAGGCGGCTAGGCCATGCTTTCGGGTTGTGACCCGACATGTCGCAACCCGGGGTGCCATACTCTTCTCACACACACACACACCTCCAAAAAGCCATCCACCAGAAAACTACAAGCATTGGCGGAAAGGCATCTCCTGCGTAATCCAGACACGCGAAACATTGAAGACTCATTGAAGATTGCTTTCCTGATTCCACCCTCACCGGATTTGATACTACGCATCCACATTTCCTATAGCGATCGAAGCCCCACAGCCCTTTGTCTTCTGGCGCGGTTCGTCTTAGCTTGCTTCATTCATTAAATGGTGGGACGTGCTGAAGATCGACAGAGCGGCATGCAGCAGCCACATCACTGTGAGAATTTCCCAAACAGTTCGCACAAAGCCTGGCGGTAGGCCAGCGGGCTGATGACAGGAAACCTTATCAAGTCTAGATGCATACGCAACAACATGATCAATACGACCAGGACTATGCCTGATGATCTTGAGAACTGACCTCATGTACTAAAGCCTGCATGGAAATGATTCTTGAGCGCATCCTAAGCCGAACAGGCCTCCAGGATGTAAGATTCTAGTCTTTTCCTCCTCGACTGTCTCGCTGACATAGGGCGCCGAAAAGGAAGAATCCTCCAAACCTTCGCTGCCAGAGTGCAGGGGGCCGTGAGATGTGCTTGTAAACCCTGCCCATTTAGCCAGTCGGGAAGCCTGTGACAATGCGTCCGAATCAAGTAATCGCAAATCCCAATAAACAAAGCCAACGTAAATTTGTCGGATTGCGGCGACGGTGAATAGCGACGTTGATGATGGAGGTACCGACGAAAGATATGACGATGGTCATTCTTCTTCACTCGCCGCGAAGAGGGCTTCGAGGTGCGACTGGGGCAGCAAGAAACTTGCTGGCGTCCTTCGGACACACACGTATGGTCCCCTGGAACACGTGTAGGCACCTGCATTTTCGCCTCCCCCGCCCCTGAGGGCCTATGAGCAGGGAGGATTTCACAAGTGTGATTGTCAGATTACATTGGTAGCTGAGCTGAACAATAAACGACTGTTAGCATGACTACTCAGGAGGCTCCAAGGTCAGGGTCTAATGTACGGGCCATAATGCGCGCGCCTTATGGTACCACCTTTCCTGCCCTTGGGCTCCAGTTTGCAGCATGACTACTGTTCAAGCCGAAGTTCTAAACAGATTGCAGGGTGCCGGTTTTAAAAGGGCATCAGTGATGCCTGCTCAGGAAGTAAAGATAGGAGTTGGTGAGAATCTGCTCTACCTCTGATGCCTGCACTGGCCGGATGACACGATTATCATCTGTTGTGGCATGTAACTGACCTTCCCTGAGCGTGGCTGCACGATAGTGTCCGCTCCGAGCGCTACTACCCAAATGGAAGACAATGCATCTGGCCTGATAGGGTATTTGTTGCATAGTGCAGTCGTAGCTGTTAAAGACGGGTAGGTGCAGTTGGAAGGGCGGATTGATGAGGCCCTGAAGCTTGTCTCCTCGATCGTCAAAACGAGCTATCTGGACAATCAGGGTAGGAGGCCCCTCATTCGCGGCCAAAACTGTCACCTCGCTGCGTCTTTGCTGTGCATGCCATGACTCCACTAAGCTCTGAAGCGTCACGCCAGCTTCTAGCCCTGAGGGTAGAGCGGCTGTGAGCGCAAGCGGCAGTAGAGTGCCGGCCTCGCAAACCTCAGAAGGGAGACCAGGGGCGGCAGGTAGGGTTCTAGCTTCCCAAACCCCAATTAAGGCACTATCATAAAGCAGGGGACCTAGGGCTTGAAGAAATTCTGCAGCATCCTGCTGTCCGCCTGCCGGCCAGGAGGAGAGTGCACGTGCCCAACTGGAACTTTGCCACAACTGCTGAGTGTGGGCGTGGCCTTGTAACACCTTTTGCAGTGTGAGGCGGATGCCAGGGGCATTGGCTCAAGCGGGACGCCTGAGAGACAGTGAAGCCACAGCAAAGCTAGAACCACTGAGTTGGCATAACAGTGATCGGAAGGGTTATCTAGCCGTAACTGCTGCAAGGCACTCTGAGAAATCACAAGCGGCGTGCTGTCTCCTCGATGGCCTTCTCCAAGGGGCCACGGCCAAGCTTGGCCTGTCGCATGGATCCGCCCAGGAGATGCCACACTGAGTTGTGTGACATCCGCTCCTGGAGCTGGTGGGTAACCTGGGCTTCCTGGCATCTGTTGTGGATCTCGAGGGTGAAGGGGACGATGTCCGAGTTCATCTGAGGAGCCAGACGCCTCAGGGCATGGAACCTCATGATCACCTTGGGGTAGATCAAGTTCTTCGTGATCTGCTCCAGCCAGCCCCTGACCGTTTCCATCGGGAGGTGGTCGCGCTGGGCCTTGTCGTGCTTCTGCGTGACAGGGTTCCACTTCAGGAAGAGGAATTCGTTCACCTCCATGATTCCCAGTTTCCGCAGTCGCTCCTGATCCGGAGGATTGTTGATGGTGCCCTCCACTCGCTCCAGCAGGGTCGTGATCACAAAGAACATGAGCGTGGTGCGGAGCGTGGTCACGATGGCCTCTGGCTTCTCCGTCTTCTCCTTGTTCCACTGCTGACCTGCCTTGTATAAGTCCTGAACAATTGACCAGTCCGTGGCCGCTCCCGAGTCTCCCTCGATGACGGGCTTCATCGACGTCCGAAGAAATAACATAAACCCCACGTCGAGTTGCAGATACGTCAAGGAGTCGGATTGGCGAACGATCAGGCGGCTCATGTCGCGCACGAGACTCTTCAGAGTCTCGATTTCCTGATCCCGGTCGCGGCTGCGACGATCGGAGCGATCCTGCTCCTTGTTCCACCAGTTGCCGCGGTTGTTGTAGCGGTTTCCGGAAGAATTGGTCCAGGCTCGGCTCTTGTCCCGATCCTGCCGATTTTGCTGATCGGCCTGCTCTTCGGGCTTTGGCCCTGGGGACCTTGTCGCCAAACTGGTGTCCGCTGGAGCCGGTGAGGAAGGAGCCGAGGGGGCGTGTCCCTTTCCCGCTGCCTTTGAGTATTTCGCTTGCGGGCCGTCCTCCGTCTCGGCCGGGTCGTTCACTGTCTGATCCGCCACGGTGGCCCGCTTGGCTGTGGTCAAGGTCTCCATGGGACTCGTTGACGGTGCATTGTGTGGAGCCGGTGCCTCCGTCACGAAGGGAGGGTCCGTGGCATCCGTTGTCGCCGTGAAGTTCGAGGCTTGTGAGGGAGCCTGAGAGGGCTCGCGGTCCTTCTGAAACAGATGGGGCTTCACATAGCCCCCGAACTGGTTGAGCTCCTCCGCTGCTCGCTGAAGCTCCTCGCTCATGTCGGACAAGCTGCAGGCAAAGCGGTGGAGAAGCTGACGTATGGTCCAAAGCACAACGCACGACTTTTGATGCACCTGTGGGGTCTGAGGGAAGTCTTGGCCGCACCACTTGCACGGCTTGCCAACACCGCTGCGATTTCGAGCCCAGCTTCGAACAAGGGGCTCAGCTTGCTTGATGAAGTCATGTTGCAGGCATGCATGGCGTGTTATGTAAGTTTTGTTGCTGCACTTGTAGCGGCACACTGGGCAGTGACCGGCAAGTAACTCCGGTCTGATAGCGGCAGCCAATTGCTGCAGGTTTTTCTGAGCTGCAAGGGTCTGAATGGCATCTTGGTCAAAAAGCGGCAATGCAGTGATGTCTGGCTGCTTCTGTGGTGAAGTGATTAGAGAGATCCCCGGCGCGGACGCCCCATGAACAGGATCCTCAGGCTTATTCGTGGTGCTCGTGTTGTGCAGTATAGGACATGCTTTCTGCACAAAATGTCCTGCAAATGAGCGCCAGGAGGCAAAGCGCTTGCCACAATGTTTGCAGGCCGGCTGACCATCAATAGCATGCTGCATCACGTCCGGGTGCCGATACGACTTCTCAGCATAGCCTGCTTTGGTGTTTGCCTGACTATACTCAGGGTGCGCTTTGCCTAAATGCGTTCTCATGGCGTGAAAGCTATCATAAGTTATGCCGCAAACAGGACAGGTGGCAGGCACGCGCACAACCTGGGTAACTTCTGTGAGGTGGCCGCTCTGCGGAGCAGGCGCGAAGGTCTCACGGCTGTTTTGCTGTAGCTGTTGCCATCGCTGGTGTACCAGCGGAGATTGAGCATGCTGCAGGTACTGTTGCGCTTGTGAGATGCGTTTCTGAGTAGCTTGCTGGAGTGTTGTGATAATGTCCGGCTGTTTGAGGCGAGCAAGGAAGGCTTCGGTGGGCTCGTGGGTGAGGTGAGCTGGGCTACGAGCTACCATGCGCAACTGTTTGGCCACATGCGTACGTAACTGTTGAGCTGTATTTGCGTTCAAGAAGATGGCCGTGAGACCATACGCAAGAATAGACTGTACGCAGGCCGACCAAAGTCGGAGTCGAGTCTGCAGAGGAAGGGCTTGACAGATTAGAGTTCTGTGCAATCTGTTCAAGGCTTGCCAGGACTGCTGAATCCTATAGGCAACCGTTGCTTTCTCAAAGGAGTGATAGCCTATTTTGGTGCCTAGATACACGTGCTCTCGGCGGATAGGCAATAGGACAGGGCCCTGTTCCGTAGAGATAGTGAAATGCCTACCAGCCTTGCCTCTGCTGATACGGCCCTTTGTGACCGTTGCATGGGAGGAGCCCCCAAGGAGAAGCAGCACCACTGTCTTGTCAAAGGCTACCGACATACCAAAGCTTCGCAGATCATCAAGAAGTTTGCCTATATGGATACACGCCTGACGAAACTGCATCGGGGTGTGAATGATCCAGCTGAGGTGCAAGTCATCAGCGAATGCTGTAATCTGGTTCTTGGGAATGTATGTAGCAAACTGTTCTAGGATGAGCAGCGAATATGCACACCATATGAGTGGCGCTAGGCCACAGCCCTGGCGTATGCCGGTGCCTGTTAAGATTTCAACAGAGAGATCCCCCCTTTTGAATACAAGTATCATCTCTTGATGTAGGTAGAGAATCAGCTGTATAAGGTCTGGCGGGGCTGCGATACGCTCTAAGGCTTGCCGAAGCTTCGTGCGGGGTAATCTGTCGAAAGCTTTAGACAAGTCTAAAGAGACCTGCAAACCGCCCTTGAGGGGGGCACTCTGTCGTTTGGCATGCGCAAATGGGTCTGGCCGCACTGAGGCTACCTGTCGCCGAACCGTTTCACAGTGGGCGTATACTCGATCCAATGCATCGGTGGTGCGACGCGCAAGTAGATAGGCGTACTGAGGCTGGGAAGCCAAAGCGGTTTCAAGTAGTGGTCGGATGCGCTGTGCTGCGATCCTAGCCAAAATCTTAGAAACTGCTGGGAGAATGCTTATGGGCCTAAGGTTACCTGGGCTGGTTGGTGCCTTGCGAGGCTTGGGCAATAAAGCTACAAAGGCTTCGTGCCATGATTTGGGCATGTGCAGTGGACCAGGCACAAAGCGCCGCGCAAAGTCGGCATGCAGGGCGCTGACGATTGGCTCTGTGTGAGCCTTCCATAACACCGCAGGTGCTTGATGCTGGGGCAGGGCCTTCTTGGATGGCATACAGTCGAGGGCTTCCTGTATCTCCTGCTTGGTGATAAGGAGTGGCGCACAAAGCCAGAAGGTGTGCTCCGGCTTGGTTGCTGGGGTCTGAAAAACTCCGCTGAAATATTTGCGAATTTCCTCAATCGACTGCTCTGCCGTGAGCAATCCTTTGTCGGTGGTCTTAAAGTGTATGCTGCGTTTTGGCTGTTTGGGGTGTAGCCTGTTCATTGCTTTGTACACGTGGGAGAGACCCTTAGCGTCTGCTTGAAGGGCTTCCGTGATGGTGGCTTCTGCTTGTTGCTTCTTGTTGTGGCGCATCAGTCGGTTGAGGTTACGGGTGATTTTCTGGAGTCGTGCTGCTGCCAACCACGCGCCGAGCATGCTATGAACGTTGCAGCATGTAGAGCGCATGGCCTGTGCCGTGACTAGGTGTCGAGTCCAACTGCTGACCTGAAGGCGCTGGTGTAACTGCTCAGATGCTGCTCGTAGCTGGGCTTTGCTCTGCCAGTATAATTCAAGGTTAGGGCGTTCAGTGGTGGGCTGAGAGCGGGACGGACCTAGCAGGAGCTGCTGACCTATGTTGCTGAGGTGGTGATCAATGTCCTCTGCAGGTACAGCAGGGGTGATGCAAAGCTCAACTTGCTTCTTGAAAGCACAGGCTGTGGGCTCATGCAATAGCGCGGTTCGGGCTTGGTGCATTGTGAGAGCCGGCCGGTGGGCTGTCTTTGGGATGTGGGGCATAGGAATGGTGAGTGCAATGGGGAAGTGCCTAAACCCACTAAGTGGAATGACCGGGGCATTGTGAAGGACTTGGAAAGGTAGCCGATGGCTTGCCGGCTCTCTTCCACGTGTTGACTGCAACCAATCCTAGCCGCTGCACTAAGTCCTGAAAGCTTTTCCGGTCTCGGTGCACTTGGGTACGATGAGGAGCTAAACCCGAACCTACGTGGGGGTGACGGGCATCTAAGGAACAGTTAAAGTCTCCGGCTATGACTAGTCGGTTTCTTTGTGGCACCGACGCGGCCCAGCTGCAGACACTTTGCAGTACGTTTGCACGATCCTGCAGGAGTAGGGTTACCGGGTCATGGTCCTGTAGGGCATAGCAACTCTTACGTGGGTTCCAGGCGTGTTGGTAGACATTCAGTACATCTACTGGGGGGTTGCTGGCTAGTCTCGTATGAAGAATGCGCCCAGGGAGTATCTCTAGGTACTGAACGTCAGCCCCATAGCCCTTGGCAAACCGTATCAGGGTAAGGACTCCCGCAGATCGGCCGGGATCGCCACTCGAGATACACTTCCAGCCCTGCTTGGTGAACTCGCTGGAAGACTGCCAGTGCGTTTCTTGATGGCAGACTACTAGGACTTCCTCTGTTCGGGTTTCTTGCCACTGCAAGAGCGCTTCCAGGCCTAGGGCCGTGAGGCCTCCGCAATTCCAGGTTATAAAGCCTATGCGCGCGGGTTGCCTACGTCTTGGGGGCAGCTGAGTACGTTGGGATTTGGCAGTGTTGAGGGCTGTTACAGACTTTGTGGGGCTCGTGGATGCAATGTCGCGTTTGTGGGCTTGGGGATCCAGTCTTCGACCCCTGTACCATGCAGTGCCGTGCATCTGAAGGCGTCGGAGCGCACGCTGGTAGGAGCGTTTAGCTATTCGGCCTGGTCTGACAGTGCCCGGCAAGGCTTCGGGATTGGAAAGTTGATGGCTTACCGGGGCTGCAGCTACAGCAGGTTGAAGGCAAATGTGCAGGACTAGCGCTGGGAGGAGCGTCGTTCGGGGCAAACGAACTAATGCAACTGATGGTCGGGTGAGGTAGGGATTCTTACTCCGAGAGTGCCAACACACGCATTCAGGGGTCATTTTTTTTTTTGGAGGTGTTTAACGTCGACGGCGGCGCCAAAGAACATTCAGGGGTCATTCCTTGGGACTTGACCTGTATAGGAAAATGGTCATTATGGTTTGCCTTGAGAGTATTAATCTGGGCAAATTGTGAGGCTTCAGGGATCCTATGACCGATGCAGATCCCAACCCTCGCGTCTCCAGTGAAGTTGGTGGTAGGGCTTCGGGTAGGTTTCTCATCACTGGTCCCGGACTTGGGACCGGGACGGCCCGTTGCATAATCTGGTTGTGCCACTCCGAGCCAGGCCTGCAGCCTACAAACTAAGGCCTGTACAGTTGCCACACTCAGAGCCTTGGAAGGCAATTGCCTTCTCAGACCTCGAAGAAGGCGGTTGTAGCCTGGGCAGTGTAGATGTCGGCGAGCGCAGCGAAGTCGGCGAGGGCGCTTGGTGATGGCGCCGGGATATCGAAAGCGCCACCAACGCCAGTGCAGGCGCTGCTTGTCCATACAGAAAGAAGACTGCCAGGACGAGTCATGGCCTTCGAATGCCAGAGGAACTGGAGGGCTCCTGCCGAGGCTCACTTCCATCCCCATTGCCAGGAGCTGGTCCAGGACCAGCAGGGTCAGAGGAGCCGGACGCCATTTGCGCATCAGGTTGCACTGAGTGGCTTGCTGCTGCAGAGTCTGCTCCCCGGACCTGTTGCAGAAAAAGATGGCGTGCGTACCATCGCTGCAGTTTGCCCTGTGAAGGCTTGGAGAGGAGCGGCCATAGCGCACACATGGTACCATAGTGCAAGAGCGGCAAAACCAGGTCGGTGGCCAGTCGGGCAAAGTGCTGGGCATGAGCTCTGTCGCTGTCCACAAAGTGGTCCTCAAATTCCTTGGCAAGGAGCAGGCAGAAGGCTTGCAGGAGTTGTCTCTTGGCTGGGCTCTCCGGTGCTCCACTGATCCAGGCAATATCATTCCTTGGAATGGGTCCTCGCAGCGCCGTTTCCAAATAAGCGTAGTTGTGACGTAGGGCATCTGCTTCACGAGGGGGTAGCTGTGCCACCGTGAGCTCGCGGACTCTGGAGGCATCCATATTGTGCTGCTGTCGCTTGGCCGCTGCAAGTCGGGCCGAGGAAGTCCGTCAGTCCGAAAAGATAAAGCAGAGATACGATGCCAGGGCGCTCCAGCACAGCTCCTGTAGCAGTATGTTCCTGAACTCCAAAACGGAAACACTGGGTTCATACGTGTAAGTTTCGGAGTCAATGCCACTGGTATTGGAGCCGGCAGCACTTCCGGATTCACTGTCTGTAAGATCCGGCTCTTCGTCAGCACTGCTAGAAAGCATGTCCAGATCATCGTTGGCAGCAACAGAGCGAGGCATGGCATTCCGGGGAGTGGCAACTCGTTGTTTGATTTTCGGGCCGAGACGCTTGACGATGGTCATAGTGATGATGATGATGATGACGAAAATAGCTCTGACAAAGGTCCATGCAGGCATCGCTTATGCTCAAAACGGCGACAATACACGGCAACAATGTGGGGACAGCCTGGGACAGGAGGTAAATGCGATGACAATGCTGGGATTGTGATGTCGATGCTGGTGGTTTTTCGAAGGCGTTGATGTGGCGATGCTGATGATGGCGCTGATCTTGGTGATGACACTGGCTGTGCGCATGACGTCAACACCTGTTCAACCGCACGGGGTGTCGTTGCACCTGCCATGTGTGGTGGATGGAGGCGAAGCCAAGTTGCTTGCTACGCTGGACTTCTTCGCGGTGAGAGCCTTCGGGACGCTCTTCAAGCCAATTCTTGTCCACGTGGGCCGTGGAATGAGGTCCTGCAGGGATTTAGGATGGAGGAAAGGGGCCGGGCTGGTAGCAAGATGCCATAGACTATTCCTGCCAGAAATACCACGACATTACCAATGCCATCGCCGACGACGACTGCTGCTGCTACTGCTACCACTGCTGCTACCGCTGCTACCGCTGCTACTGCTGCTGCTGCTCCTGCTGCTACTTCTGCAGCAGAGGCCGCTGCCACGATACTGCCGTTGCCGCTACTGCTGCCACTACTGGTGCCATTATGTGCTGCCATTGGTCGCAGATTTTCGCGCAGGAAGGGACGACACTGCATCAAGAACAGGCTCTCTCGCGGGGCTTCGTGCGCGGAACTTTGTCAGATTTGGATTCCCACGGCGCCGCCCTAGTCTCTACTAGCACAATTCAGGAGCGGAGCTTCAGATTCTTGTGCATTGCTTCTCATAGCCGCGACGCGCCCGATGCCTGGTCAATGCTCATCTCTCCAGAGCGTGCGGCCTCCAGAGGGACAGACATAGGTCGGCATCGCAGGGTTACGGCTTAGGAAGTTAAGGCATAGCGTGTATATAAGGGTTATACATGTACATGCATGTATTATAAGCAGGAATTGGAAGCCTGCTGTGGTGCCTATGCGAATGTGCAGAAAGGGTTCTTGTTCAGAGACGGAGGAGCACAGAACAGCCTAGTTAAAGTACACGAGAAGCTCGCCCACCTCTCCACGAGTCAGGAACATGTGCTTTCCGGCGCTGGCAGAAGTGTCAGACTTCTCCCGCCGTGTCCTTAGACTGTCTGGTTCGTAGTAGGGAATGGGGGAATGGATTATGGGATTATGGGGAGTTTTATCATGGACAGCTATAGTACTCTGTATAATCCCCACTATAGTGGGGATTATACAGAGTACTATAGGGATCCATTCCCCAATTCCCTAGTAAGCACCAGGGAGAAATTTTCACGAGCTCCGGAGTTCCTCCTCGAGTGGCTTCGGTTCTTCGGACAGCCTTGTAGTAGGGTTTAGGGTTTAGGGCTTTAGGGTTTAGGGGTTAGGGGTTTAGGGGGTAGGGTTTAGGGGTGTAGGGTATAGGGTTTAAGGGTTTAGGGTTTAGGGATTAGGGCAGCCACTCCAGTGGCTGAACACTGAACTTGACTTTATACTCCGCCCAGGATACGGTCGATGACATACTGCCATGTCGGGCTGATGCTGTGCTCGCTCTTTCGTGCAAAACTTGATCATGGGTTTCGTCCCCAAGAATGGACATGTTCAGAGAAGACGGTGCTCTTAGTTCCATTCCCCAGATCTTGCTCAAATACCAAGGGTTCATCCAAGGGTTGGAAAGCGAGGCTCGAGGGGTGAAGTGGGTTTTTTGAAGGCCTCTGCAGAGCCACACATTGCGCTGGGCTTCCCATGGTGTTGTGCTTTGCATCTCTGCCTACAAGCCTTACTATCCTCATTGCAGGAGGCGCCAACAAGTGACGGTGCCTCAGAAAGTCGTTGATGAAGCTAGCGGGCAAGTTTGTATTAAGTCCCTATCAAGCCGTGCAGCTTTCACCGTCAAAGCTTTGGAATACTGCATGACCCCTTTGTGCCCTTGTCTTCCCAACGGATGAGCCTGTTAAGTCCATTGCTGAGAAACCCAGAGATCCCAATACCCCTTAACCTTAAACCATAATATTAGGCCCTCTAAAACTTCAGGTATGTTCCTTAATTAAGGGGTACTGGGATCTCTGGGAACCCTCCCCACCCAGCGAAGTCTCGGGGAATCCATCATGGTCGGGTTCCCGAATGGCGGCTGCAGCCTGTCGATGTGTTCATGCGGAAAAGCAGCGAGGGTACGCTGGGAGTGCATACCCAAATTAGCGCCCTTAGCCTTCAGGGCAGTGCAAGAAGTGCGCATCAGAAACTGAAACGACCGCGCCACATACTGAGTGCTTGGGGCCTTACCAGAAAATTTAAGACACTTCAGCAAGAAATGGGAATTGTTGACCGACGAACATCACCTTGTGTCCCGAGTCTAGAGCTCTCCCGGAGATCCTAGGACCCTAGGAGAGTACGTCAATGCAAGGATTGCAAGAGTGGCTCCGCCATGTAGAGAAGCGCCAATGTCCCGAGCAGACACGCCGGAAGATCCGAGAACCCAGAGATCCCAGTGCCCCTTAATAAAGGAATATACCTGAAGTTTTAGAGGCCCTAGTATTATGATTTAAGGCAGATTCCTTAATTAAGGGGTATTGGGATCTCTGGGAATGCATTCAAGAAGCGCGCTGAGGTCGCGCGAGGGCACGCGGATGCTTTTCATCGAGCCTTGGGGCTTACTTCTTCTTCTGCTTCTGCGACGATGTCTTCTACTGCCTTCTACGACCACTACTACTACAACTACCACTCCTACTACTAGTACTACTACTACTACTACTACTACTACTACTACTACTACTACTACTACTACTACTACTACTACTACTCCTGCTGCTGCTGCTACTCCTGCTGCTGCTGCTGCTACTACTACTACTACTACTACTACTACTACTACTACTACTACTACTACTACTACTACTACTGCGACGACTACTACTACTGCTGCTGCTGCTGCTGCGACGACTACTAGTTCTTCCACTACCCCTCTCAATACTGTGCTCTGGTGCCAGCACTAGTTCGTACAACTACAGGAGTCGTCATGCCTGTCATGGTAGACAACATCTTGCGGCATCAACAACCCGAAAATGCTGATTAACTCTTATATCTCTTGATATCAATGCATCACATGCAAGATATCATTGTGACCAAGAGCATCGCCCTGGGCTGGCATGTCGGATATCCGTCCCAGTTAAACGGAAACTATCATGTGAATGTACATGCCGCAACCGAAGACATCGCACCTTCAAATGGTAGAGCCGGGTCACTAACGCGATCTTTGATGGACGTCACTCCTTGGTGGCATTTCACACCAGTACTGTAGAGAATTCCTACACCTCGGTGCAGAAAGGTCGAACAACGGGATTGAAACAGGCTGTCACCCACCGTCTTACTACAAAAATAAGCCAAACTAAGGAGAGCATTCGCGACGCACCAGCTTGCGGACGTGCCTCGAGCTCTCGTCGGGCTTCTTGGGCTAGACTGAAGATCACTGTCAGGGGTTTTCTGCCGAATCAGCGCCCCCTCCACTGGGATCGCGGAGCGAGGACGGCCAGCGGCATCATGAGCCGAAGACCTGAGCACGTGAAGGTTTAGGAATTTTTAGGTCTAGGATGCAGGCATCGACCCTGTGACCGTGCGTCACTGAAACAGGTACCCCGAAATCTCGTGGGGAAATAGAGTGGCAGCCGATTTTCTGTCGAGACGCAGGCTGCTCTGATGATCAACAGCAAGCAGGGCCCCATGCTGCTGACCATCTGGCTCGGATGTCAACGACACTCCTGAGCCGTTCATTTCAGGACTCTGGCATAGCATGAACAGCAAGGCGCCCACTATAGGGGCCTACTAGGGTTTGAAGGGCGCATGGTACTATAAAAATAATGAGGAACCCCAAAATCCCAAAATAGTATAGGTAATTATCCAGGCCCCTATATTAGTGATATAACTTAGCATGAGACCGGAGCTCACGGCATGTACAACATGCTGGCACGACATGGAGGAGAATCGTCGCTATGTTCATCCGCAGCCGCATGTGATATGGCACCGTGCCCGATGCCCTGACACGTTCTGCGCTGTTCTGTCATGTTCCGAAAAACGAGCACTTCGCAGATTCCCAGAACTGTCCTTAGCATGTTTCCGCTCCAAAACTAAACTCTTGTCTAGCAGATGGTAAGTCGCGTAGAGTATCGCCGAACACATCGAAGCACCGCACTATTTTCGCCGTGTGCATGGAGAGTAGTGCAGTATAAGTATGGCATAGTTTAGCCTGCATTGTACGTAACGGCATTCATCATAGTCAGTCATTTTGAGCGCGAGCGAAGTGCTAAATCTGTAAAGAATGCACCTTTGATCCGACCATGATGTCGCCACGATTCTGATCATAGTCGGGGCAATCAGTCTACAACAAGGTGTAATCGGCACGATACGAAACCCAGCGCTCTCATCACCATCACCACCTCGGGCACTACCAGCATTAACTGGTCAGACTTAGTACTGCTTGTATCAATGCTGGACACGGGGGGGCCATTGGGGCGGTGGTGTTCAGCACCGGCAACAAACAACGGCAACAACAAGTTAGTACAAGCACAAACCTGATGTTTTGCAGCTTTAATGCCGCACTGCGTGGTGGGATCACATACGAAACGCGATCAACAATCAACTCCCAAATCCTGCACTGAACTTCCCTGAACTGGACAACCGTCAACTCGGAGTCCCCACATCCCCACGCTGAGCCCCCAAAACTCTCAACCCCGAACCGACAAATGCTGCCACGAGTCTTCGGTTCTCCTGGCTTCTGGTCCTGGGCTTTGCCACAATGGACCTGGACGTTGTTCGGTTCGGGGGAGTTGCATGGTTCACGGGATTTGGGCTTGCGGGTGCCATTTCGGGATTTTGGCTTTCGATTGAAGGATTTTCGGGACAACAGACAGTTTGCATTTGGATGACTCGAGGCTTCGACATGGTTTGGAGGTTCATTATCATCGACTGTCACCAACGTCGTTGCTGTCGACATTTTCTATCGCCATGCTCCTCCTCGTCCTCCTCGCCCTCGCCCTCGCCCTCGCCCTCGCCCTCGCCCTCGCCCTCGCCCTCGCCCTCGCCCTCGCCCTCGCCCTCGCCCTCCTCCTCCTCCTCCTCCTCCTCCTCCTCCTCCTCCTCCTCCTCCTCCTCCTCCTCCTCCTCCTCCTCCTCCTCCTCCTCCTCCTCCTGCTCCTCCGTATCTGCATCATCAACAACACAAACGCTACCACCACCATCATCATCAGCAGCATCGTCATCATCAGCATCATCATCGGCATAACCGTCATCATCATCATCATCATCATCATCATCATCATCATGATCACAATCACGCATCATCGGCATCACCATCAACATCACAATTCTCAACAACAGCAGCATCATCCACAACATCATCATCGTCATCACCGTCAGCATCATCAAATACAGACTATGCCTCTTCATCTTCAACGCCCTCATCATCACCAACACCATGACCAATCATGGTCGTCGTCATTCACGATGCGGCCCGCCTTCAACATCGCTGCTGCCACTAATCTGTCCATTATCATCCTTATCGAAACAACATCATCATCATCACCATCTCCGTCCTCATCTTCATCATCACCATTACAACCACCACCATCATCAACATCACCGTCGCCACCGATATCGTGATCATATGCTCATCAACCTCATCGTCGCTGTCACGACTGGCGCCCGTGCTTGCGAAATTATGATTTCACAGGCTTTTGCTAAGCACTCACCTCGAGAATGAGCCTGAGGAACCGGCGGCCGCCTTGGCAAAGTGATGTTTGTGGACTCTCGAAACTGAGCAACATCAGCCTCGTAGCACCTGGGCTAGTGAGAACATGTGAGAACGCAGTACGCATGAAGCTTAAAGCGGGTGCCGTAGTCTATGTGTGGCGTAGCCAGACCCTGCGAAGCGACGTTCGTGAATGCGAAGTCTTCCTGCCTTCGGTGCAAGTTGGAGGGGTGCCGCGAATGACGTCAGGTCTGGTACAACGATCACATCCAACGAAAGCACGCAAGAATGTGGTCGGACTTTGTTGACTGTATCGTGCTGAATGAGATCATCTTGCTTGCGCTGGGTGTCCATATAGTCAGCCAACTCTGCCCAGCCTAACCCTCTTCGTCTAGAAAAACTACCATGGCTGCTGGTACTGTACCTTCTGAACATCATAGCGTCGTTCTGTGTACTATGCGTACTGCGTGCTCAATCGCACAAGACCATCTCTACCTTACTACTAAGTCGTGAGACGTGAGACAGTCTTTGAAGGTGCTCCTAGAGACGATAGACCCTTTTCCGGCATTGCCACAATTCCCCAAAAAGTGCGCTACGCACTATGGGGCTCTACCGTTGAAAGCAAAGGAACTCTGAACCCCGCCAGTACTTCTGCGCAGCATTTGAATATTGAATGTCCTCCTGGATCCCGGCAGTATGTTGTGGGGCACCAGGGGCGGTCGGCTCCTAAATGCGATGGTCTCTGGGTGGTCTGATGCTTGTCTCCTCCTGGTCGTCGATCGCCCTGGTAGTCCTGATGGTCCTGGTGGTCGTGGTCGTCTTGGTCGTCTTGGCCGTCTTGGCCGTCTTGGCCGTCTTGGCCGTCTTGGCCGTCTTGGTCGTCTTGGTCGTCGTGATTCTCGGGGGATTGCACAATTTCTATGTGACGGTCCTGCAAAGAGTCTTGACCAGTGCACTACGAGCTTCAGCGTCTTGCTGGGCATGTTTTCTATCGTGCCGTGCTAGAACCCTGCAGTGCACACAAATGCACTACGAGTTCTTCTCTACATGTGCTATACTCAACATCATCATGAATCATCCTGCAGGGCTAATTATATTCTATTGCCCATGCACGTCTGCCACGCTTCTCACTTTCCTGCTTTTTGCTGTCAAAGAGGCTCGCCGAGTCGGCGATGCAGGTCCCAAAAGCCTTCGGCGCTTTGTAGCTGGCACGAGCCCGAAACTGACCGCGACTCCTCAG